TTCCTGCTGGGCTTGCGTGCATATGTGCTCAAGATCCAAGGAGAAGAAAGGAGGAGAGGGGATTGCAGCATGGCCATGCACCCAGGAGTGATTTCTCACTTTCCCTCTCAGTGTCTCTGTTTCTCTCTAGCGAGTGTACATGGCCTAAGACAAAAAACTCTTTAAAAAAAGGAAAGAAAAGAAGTACTTTTGCTGGGACCTGGAGTTTATATAGTGGTTAAAACATTGAACTCCCACATGGCTCATCATGATTTTAGTCCTGGACCTGGCAGCTTTAATCACGCTGGGCACGTGTGCATGTGTGCCCAAAATCCCAAGAGAATGGAGGAGAAGGGATTGTAGTGTGGCCATCACTGCTGGTGGGAGCCCATACCCTAGGGCAAAAATCTAAAAAAAGGCAAGAAAGAAAGCAAATAAGCAAGCAAGAAAGAAATATTTTTTCTTTTTAGGTTAAGTCTCTGATGTATCTGTTTTTCACATGGTGTAATTTCTAATCAGAATCTTCAAGTTCCAGGTTGTTTTTCTGTAACTCTTGTTTTGCTCTTTTAGAGTTCAGTGCATTTTAACCTCTCACAAACATTTCACATCTTCATATTTTCCCCACCTTTATGTTTCATTTCCCAACAGAAATTTTTTCCCCATAAGATATATTTGTAAACAAAGCATCAACTCTTCTTTCTTTGTTTATTCAGATGGTGTTTGAGGATGGAGGGTTCCAGTTAACCACAGGACGAAGTAGAGAATTAATTGAAGATTTATATAACCTTCTACTCTTTTCCTAGTATGTGTGTATGTATGTATATATATTTGTGTGTGTTTTAAAACACTCAAATAAAAATAATCATCCTTATCTAAAGGATTTTGCCTTAGTTGGCTCTAGAAAAGTAACACTAGTATCAGATGGGTTCATTCACTTTAGGAATTTTCTTAATAGTATGTAAGAAATTTTTAGATTAGGTTTTTTTTAAGATGAAATAGTACCATAATTAGTACTGGCATTTAGTGGAGTCCAGTTGTTTTTCCTAATCCATTATGGATGTAAAAAATTTGAGAAATGGATAAAATAGTTAAAGATTTAACATTCAGTGAGAATTTTCTTTCGTTCTTTCTCTCTTCCTTTCTATTTCTTTCTTTCTTTTTTCCTTTCTTTCTTTCCTTCTTCTTCTCCTTTTTTTGTTTTAAATAATCAACTGAGTCTAGGTAGGCAGAGTGTCTTCTCATGTTGCCTAATTTGACCCTTGAGGTAGTATACATAGCAATCCACATGCCTAATTACCAATAAGTTACCAGCTCTTAGGGACACAGGTGTAAAATGCAATCTTATTATTTATGTGTATTAGTCGTTATTAACTGTGTATGTTGAAGTATTACAATAAAAATGAATTTAGGAAAGAACTAGCTGATTTGTAATTAGAAAATAAAGGGAATAGAAGGAGTACAGAATGTTAGGATTTTATAGGATTGGAAAGCTGACTTGCACACCCCAAACAATAAGTGATATGACTTAAAAGACTGAGCCAATAAATATTTTTAGTTGGATAAAGTAATGCGGTAAAAACTTGCTTTATGATGTTATATTACCGCACGTTTTCCCTAAAAATATCATAGTAGTCACCAAGAAATTAAAGAGACAAGCAGAAGGTGACCAAATATTATTTTTACAAAAGGTCATTCAGCATAGTTAATGGCCCATGAAACTGAGTAGAAGTAAATTGATCAGAATCTTACAGAATTTTTTATCGAACTAGATTTTTAAGAAACAAAATGAAACAAACAACAAAAACCCCCAGCTGAATTCAGTAATGCTCCTTCACTATTTAAAACTTTAAGCAATTAGTTCTTTTTTTTAGTTGATGAAATAAATATATAATTGTAATATAGTTATTGCTCAGTTGCGCTATTCCTGTGTTCTCTTTTTGATCCCTCAGCTTTATCTAAGTATAGTTCAAAAACAAAAATAAATTGTGAACTTTCAAGGTGTACAATGTGATGTTTTGCTACATGTATACATTGTGATATGATTATTATATTCAGTTACTTGTCATAGATATCACCTCACATTGTTACTTTTCTGTGGTTGAGTATAATTAAAGTATGTTCTTTTAGCAAACTTCAAGTGGACATTATTATTAACTCTAGTCATCATGCTGTATAGGTCTCCAGAATTTATTCATTTGTAACTATAAGTTTGTACCTTTTGATTATTTCCCTGTGTCCCTGCTCCCCAAATCTCAGTAACCACCCTTCTAATCTCTGTAAAACAACTAATTCTTGAGCTAGCAGCCTTACACAGAAGTGATAAACTTTGAAAATCCTTCTGGTAAATTCACATTATGTGTGACTGAGGAAACCCACAGATGCGCTATTTTTTTATTTATATATTTTATTTTTTATACATTCAATCACTGTATATCATTACAGCATGTGAAATGAATTTTCCCAGCATGAATATACCGCATATTAGTCCAGTTAAAGATATTATCATACATGTTATCATAAACATATAATTTTCTTCCCCTTTTTTGTGTACGTAGATACACTATTTTTCACATAGAAAATTATGGAAATTTCCCCACCTCGTTTTTTCACAATATTTGCTTTGTGAGATTTTAGAATTATTATATGCAGTGACTATTTCTAACCAAGAGCATTTATTTTGGTTATCCTGCTCTCAGATTTTTTACTCTTAAATATTCAGCAGGCACATGTGCTTGCTGGAGACTGAGGAACAGAGAGAGGGAGAGCAAGAGAAAGCAGCCCTCAGAAGGACATGGTCAAACTGCAATCCCTTCTCCTCTATTTCTCCATTCTGTTGAGATTTTAAGCTCCCATTCACACTTCTAGTGTGTTTTTCAAGCCTCTGGGGCAAAGATTAAAACTGCAGTAGGTCTTGTGGGACCTGGCTTTCTTAACAAGGTTATGGAGCTGGCCCCTGTTCTGTTTTAACATTTTATGTTGGGTGAGTTTGGGGAGAAGATAATTTGTCTATTCAGCTTAATTTTCAGAAATAGGAAGGGACATTCCAGTTTGACCTGGTGGGCAGTCAGAATCCTCAATTTTGAGTTCCTTGTAGAGAGAGTAACAGTGTGCTTGAGAGAAAGAGTTAAATGGATGTGTTGAATATTTTAACTAGCGAGGTGAGATGTGAGACTGGCTATCATTTAGTCTAGTTTTTCTTAGCTACCCTTTTTATTAAATTGGGATCAGGTGACTGCCTCTTAGATAATGAAGGTTGGCAGAAGCCAAGGAATGGTAGTATCCACAGAGCTGGTACAGACAAAGCTCCCCAAAAGCATATGTAGGGAGCTTACACTGTCCATAGACACATTAATTTTCGGCCTGGTAAAACTGATTTTGGACTTCTGGCCCCCAGAATTGTGAATGAATGAATTTCTTTTGTTTTAAACAAGTAAGTTAGTGGTAATTTGTGCAATAGCTGGAGGAAAGTATTATAGTCACCAAGCTTAATTTTGTGTTAGTTTCTCATCTTTTAACTTCTAGTAAAGTTGAAAATCCACATTTTCTTCGTGTGTTTTTTTCATCATGCCTCTGACACTTTCTAACTAAGCAATCTTTGGTAAATCACTTGTCTTCTGTTATTCAGCTTGTTCATCTTCAATGAAAATAATAGCACCTACATGATTAGGTCATTAATAAGGGCTTAATGTATTAATATTTATAAGAAGTTTAGGACAGCTCCTAGTACTATCTAAGTTAATACCAAATAAATTTTTTAAAAAATAGATGAAACGTTTTAGAGGGAAGGGAATAGGGAGAGGGCCATGGGATGAAGTTTGTCTTCCCTTCAATCACTGTTTTTTCACTTCCAAGAGAAATACTGGGTCATCAGAAAGGTCATGTTGCATTTTTCCATAGAAAAACAGAAAAACATACATCATGACTTTTCTGATGACTCAATAATTTATAAAGAAAAGATACAACGGAAAACATTTGTATTTTTTAGACAGTATTCAAACATAAAGGCACTTATTACCATCATATGCTTAAATCTTTAATGATTCTTATGTACTTATTTATGAAGCAGTCTTTTAAAATTCTGAAATGGTAAAAACATGCATCAACCCATTATTTCTGTATAAATGAAGTCCAGTGAAAAACCATCACAAGCCAACTGACCAAATATCACAAGACTGATATTTTAATGTAGCAGAATGAAATAGTCTTTAGGAAAAAAAAAGGAAATTTTTGTAGATTTCACTGATTCCTGCACCATTATCTGAAAAAGGAAAATAATATATCAGTTTATATAATAAAATTACCAAATTAATTGTACCTAAAGCAGTATTAGGTTCCTTCCTTTATAATTTTAGTATTATTTTAAAAGGACTATTTTGAGTCCTCATTTAAAAATCCATATCACAAATAAAATAAACCTCATGCAGGGCACGTGTGCGTGCGTGTCTAAGATCCTGAGAGGAGAATGGAGGAGAAGGGATTGCTGCGTGGCCATCCTCCCTGGGGGGTGATTTCTCGCTTTCTGTCTCTCTGTCTGCCTGGCGAGTGCAAGCGCCCTATAGCAAAAACCTCTTCAGAAATAAAATAAAATAAAAAAATAAAATAAAATAAACCTTATTAGAATCGAGGTTGTTTTCTTTGTCTTATTCTAGACATGATACATTCTTATAACACTTAGTAATGTATTTTTGTAATAATTTGCTTAAAAATGCAATGTTTTAATTCAATGTTATGGTTTTATTTGTATGGATAAGTATATTGTAAAGGATGATTTTTCTGTGGGTATTGATTTTAGGATAACATTGGATATTGATCTTGACATATTGAATGATTTGAAGTAAAGTTCCTTCTCTATATTAACAGACTTTTCCAGAAAATAGCCTGTTCACTATTACCTAATATGAATCTAGGAAATAATATGTTAAGAAACTCAGACCAATGCCTACTGAAAGTATGAAATTTTGTGTATCTAATATTTTGAGCTAGTTCACTAAACAACATTCATCTTACATAGCATAACTAACCCCACCCCAAATTAGCAGTACTCATGGTTTAACTAAAAACTGAGATCTTTTCATATCCTCGGCAATGGCTGCCATTAAGAGGCATGTCAACGATAACTATTGTCACATTTGCATTGCAGTTCTTTTTTTAGGTGCTGATGTTCTCAGTAGAAATTTCAGTTTGGCTGACAGTTAAAAAACCCTTGCCATTTTCCATCCAGTGAATATTCATAACAGTAAACTTAGAACAAACTTAGGGATAGATAAAGGAATAAGAATTTAGAATTTAAATGACCAAATAAGCCCCAAAAATGGCATATCTCCTGATCAAATGACTGAAGTGGAATGAGTCAAATGGCACTTTTTGGTCAGTACCTTCCTTTCCAGGAAAGCGTATTTTGTGGAGTGGATTTGGGGTATGTATGAGAAGGAAGAAGGTGGGAACTAGGAGGCTTAAGGTCTAAATTGTTTGTTTGTTTTCTAAAATAGTGATTTTACAGTGTGGGATCAGAATGATGACTGAATGGGTAATATACAGAATGACCTGCAAGAAATTCAACAAACAATGCCTCTTCCCATCCATAGTTTGATCCCCTTTTCTCATATGAAATTTTCTTTACTATAGTGATCACTGCTATTTTAAAATAGTCAACTTATAATTAATTTGGATTAATTTAAGGAAGAGGCTTTTAGTTGTCCAAAAGTGGCTCAAGTTCCCTACACAGGACATGTGTACATAATTTGAGGTTCTGGAACACAGAGTACCAATACTGCTCTACACCCTGTTTTCTTTTTCATATGTAAAAATATATTCAAAGGTGTTTTTAGCTGATGAGATTTAATCTTTGATTTCTAAATTTCATTATCATATATGACTTACAGAAATAAATGCCTGGTACTTTCTTCTCTGGAAAATCTCATTGCTGTACAAAAAAAAAAAAAAATTACACATGATAAAATGTACATCACTTCATAGTATTGCATCTATTTTTTCTGGATATTATTTCTTCTCTACAATATTGTGTCTTATTGAAGTCATCATAACTCTTATTTAAAATACTTTATTTTGCACCAGACTTAGCTTTTCAAAACAGAGAACTGGTTAAGTCACTTTTCTCAATGACGATCCTTAATACTTTGGCTACAGGATAAAGTCCAAGGTATATAGCACTCTTTTCAAGGCCTCTTCTTATTAGGTCCTATTTCTTTTTATTCTCACTTTTTACCATTTCCTGTCCACTCCCATGTGAACCATGATCTAAGAATGGTTAGAGGTAGATCGAAAGCACAAATGTCACAGAAACCTATCATATGCACATGTTAATGTATGAAGCACTGGAGAGTAAGCCTAGCTCATCATACTTTTCTGGAGCAGTTGCAAACAACCATTTAACTTAATCACTTTCTGAATATCATAAATGAAGATAATTTGGGGGCCAGCATTTGACATGGGGGTTAAGGGTCTGGACTCCCACATGGCCTACTACGGTTTAAGTCCCAGACCCAGTGGCTTGACGATCACACCAGGCATGTGTGCATGCCAAGAAACAAGCCAAATATGCCAAGAAATTGGTATATCCCTGATTAAATGGTGGAAGTGAAATGAGTCTAATGGAGCTTTTTGGTCAATACCTTTCTTCTGAGAAAAAAATGTGTGTTGCGGAGTAGATGGGATGAATGTATGGGAAGAAAGAAGGTAGGAACTGGGAGACCCCACATCTAAATGATTTGTTTGCTTTCTATACAGGGCATTGGTTCATAATTGTTTGCATGTATGCGTACTCAAAATCGTGAGAGGAGACTGGAGGAGAAAGGATTATGGTGTGTTCATTTCCCCTGGGGGGTGGGGGCGGTGATTTCTTACTTTCCCTTTCTCTTTCTCCAGTGAGCACACATCCTCTATTGCAAAAAATCTTAAAAACCAATAGACAAACAAAAAATCCCAAGATTTTTGTGTCTTCTAGAAAATCACCACGATAAATATCTGATCAGTGGCTAATCTACATTAATTATTCACTGAGGAACTTGACCCTCTACTTGTTTTAAGCCTGTTCCCAGGGTTTAATGTATCTCCTATGTAGTTTGGAATCCAATTTCCCTTTATAAAACAGCTCAAGTGGTTGGACCACATCTTCTGAAATTTAGGGGCTAAATATTTTTTTTAATGTTTTTTTTTCTTTTTTCTTTAAAGTTTAAAGAACTTTGCTTTAGGTCAATATGAGTAACAGAAATGGGTTTACCCTCTTGCCTGAGACAAAAAAGATGCACAAAAATATGAGAAGTGGCAGTTTTGCAAAATCTGAACATCAGCCCAGTAAGGAGAGTGATCACTAAGAAATTGGAAGCAATGGAGATAGACTGTGCTCACCCTGCCTGGAAAGAAGTTACCTTCACACTGTCAACTTAATAGCGATAGTCATGTGCAGATACCAACCTGAGACCATTCATTTTGACCTTGGACAAAATGAAATAATGTCTGATTCTCACACAGAGCAGGGTAAATCACCACCAGCCAGAGTAAACTCTCAAAACTCATAGGTACAAGATTGAGTACTCAAAGTGGTTTGACCTCAATGATGAGAAAAATTAATCTTAGATAAAAATGTTGCTCTGTTTCTACTTAATAAAGTAGGAAAACATAGTAGACAATGGCAACCCAGGAAAAGGCCCATGACTATGCATATTATATTACGTAAGCATATCTAATATATGTATATGCATGTGTGTGTATGTATCCATATATGTGTATTTGTGCATATGAATGTATGTATGTATATATATCTAAGTATGTACATATGCACATGAAAAAGACTTAAAGCTTTTCCATAATATTAAGAACAATGCAGGGATATCCAACTAACAATTTTTTTTTAAAAGAATTACGTGTTTAATTTTATTTATTGATACTATTATTTTTAATTGGCTGTAGGTCACTTACACTCACCAGAGACAGACAGAAAGAAAAAGAGAGAGAGTGAGAAAAGCCGCCAGGTCTGTGACTTGAATTGCAGTTCACCATGTGGGAGTCTAGCACCTTAACCACCATGCTACCTGCTGGCCCCTAATCTAATCGCTTTTATTTAACATACTATTGTATGTGTAATCCACTACAGTATGCAGTGAGTAAATAAATAAATAATATCCAGTTTGAAAGCTAAAATGATCGTCCATAAGTGAATTGGTCAAAAAAGGTGACTTATCTGTGTAAAAAATAATACTCTGCCAAAAATAAATCTCTAAAAGTGAATGAAGCCAGACACAGAGGAATACATTCAACATTATTTGATTTATATAATATTATAAAAAATAAACTGATAGTACTGAAAAAGTCAGACCAGGGATGGGAGATAGCGGAAGACAGGCTTACAAACTAACAGGAGAAAACTATTGACTGTGGTATGTGATATGTTTATTATCTTGGTAATTTTTTTCATGGGTGTACATAGCATAATGGCTGTCGCTGGACTCCCACGTAGTCGACCGTGGTTCGTGTCCCGGACCCAGTGGCTTAAAACTCACGCCGGGCATGTGTGTGTGCGTGCCCAAGATCCCGAGAGGATAATGGAGGAGAAGGGATTGCGGCGTGACCATCCCCCCCTGGGGGGTGATTTCTCGCTTTCTGTCTCTAATGTCTCTCTCTGTCTGGCGAGCGCATGTGCCCTATAGTGAAAATCTCTCACAAATAAAAACAAAACAAAAAAAACTTACCATACTGTATACTTTCAATATGTGTAGTTTGTTGTATGTCAGTTATATCTCAATCAAGTTGTTTAAAATATGTTTGCTTGTGGAGAGGTTGTGTTTCTTCCTTTTTCCTGCATTACCAGTGACAAGGTACCACCAACCTACCTGGTCAAGAGAAGGAGAAGTCTGAGATTCTTGGGCAGCAGGCTCAACTGTATCAGGTTTGGGTCCAACAGACGTAGTCATAGTAGACTTAGTTACAGCATGTTGGTCAGCAAGCACAGCTGCAGCCTGCTCAGCTGTAGAAGCTGTGAGTTC